AGCTTGTAGATTTTAATCATGTTCAATGTGAAGAAAGGCAGCCAGCATACGAGAAAGACAACTGAAAACGGTAGCTTTTAATCTGTGTAGAGTACCCTTAGGTTTTCGTACCCATCACAGTAGCAACAAGCTTTGTGGCTCGAGCTTCTCTTCGTATCGCCATTCCTTGCTTAGATTTGAGCTTAGCCAAAAGATCAAGAGCCCAATCCTAGGGGAAATACTTTGATATATTGAACGAATTTAGTTTTCTAGTAGTTACTTTGAGTCCTGCTAGTTTTTTCCTGGCAATGTAGACGCTTTCGCGTCGAGCATAAGAGTACATGTGAGAAAGTGACGTAGTGGATGGCCTGTCCCAGTCAGAGATGATTTCGGAAAGCCGCCTCATTTTTCGCTTTTCTTCCTGAAAAATCTATATTAATGATGGTACGAGAACTTTCACTAACGGTGTAATTTTCAGTCCAGTTACACTGTATAAGAGGGGAGGAGGGGGAGGGGGGTCAACTCGCTAGCTACATGGGTAAAAACATACCAGAGATGGGATGAATGCAGGTTACAAGCAAAGTAGGGTGATGGTTCTCTAGAAGCTATGAGAATTCGGTGGTAGGAGGGTGAATAATTGTGAACATGCATTCTTCAGACAAAGTCGAACATTTAAACATCTAAGCTACTGCTTTTAGAGCATTTTTCATGACGCACATAGCTTTTCCATAAATTCTCACCATCATTTAAGTCCTTCTACGCAGATTATCGCAAATTTTCTTTATCTAGCACTTATTTTTTAGCAGCTTCTCTGAAGCGGCACCTGGCCTGCTGCCAATCCTAGTCTTACTTTTGAAGTTCTAGGATATGGTCAGTTATTCAGAAAAAAATTAGTAGAAAAAGCTTAGATTGCAGAAATTTGCTACCAAATTTTCTTTCGGATGAGTTACTCGTCGGAGTAATTACCGGCACTGGTCAGCTCATAACCTACACTTTATCCAAAACTTTTGAGAGTATAAATATGTTCAGAAGCAGCACATGGCATGAAAAGAAGCCTCAGAATGTTCGTCCGCCTTGAGATGCTGAGACTTGCTCACATTTTCGAAAAAACATTACAACAAGGGAGGATCACGAAGTTGAAGTGGGCGATTCATAAATTGCGTATCATTTGTACAAGCTTGAAGCGCTGACTCCGATTCTCTTTTTATCATTTGCGAGCTCTTCTGGGAAGTAAGCTATGATATTAATGAGGCGAAAAAATGAAGAAATTTTCGGGATAAAATAAACCGCTACAGCTTCTCTGGACCTTGAATGAAGCAGCGGCAAATGTCAGTGTACATCGTACAATGAACTCATTCTTCCTAGTACATAGGACTTTCCATTGCTCTAACGTCTAGAATGACCGTAATAATTGATTTTTGACCTCAGACATGATCCATTATTTTCCTTCAATAAATGTTCATAAGTTCTTTCCCAGAAGTGCTCCGCAAATAGGAAAAGCAGAATTGGAATTAACGCTACAAGCTCTCCCAAATGATATGAAATTTGGTGAGCCACTTCGACTTCCTGACCTTCCCTTGTAAGAAAAAATATGAAAATTTGTCTTTATATTATTTGGTTTGTGCTCGAACTCTGAATTGTAAAGTCTATATTCGACCAACATTGGAAAGAATTCATGCAAAAACGAATCAGCGAACGAACAGAGATGAGGTTGAGTAGGCACGAGACGTGTACTCGAAACCATTAACTCACACAAGCTGCACAGCATTCGTTGTGCTCTTTGTGATCACAAGGTATTGCTACAGGAAGAGAAAGCGTTCGCTTCTAAAAACAAGACCGATGTCTTGGTTTTTCCATAAAGGCTTCCGTTAGAAACCTCTCGAAAAAAA